GTAGCATGAGCCGACCTAGGGCTGCAGTGGCCGGGGAGGAGTAGCGCGCAACTACATCGTCAGACAGTGCCTTAGCAGTTTTGTGCTGGCTGAAATGTGCGCGCTCAGTGATCGGCAGATGACTTCGAATAGCTAGGCGTGCAGCAGCATCGCGAGTCTGCCACTGTGAGCGTTCGAGAGCGGTAGCATCGTCAGCAGGAGCAACGGCAGTGCCAGACGCGTAATTGAACAGTGAAACGCCGTCTTTGGCATCAGTCATAAGAAACAGTTGGAGATCGTCTAGCCACGTGGTAAACTCTATTGGGCGACCGTCAGGCTCAAACGCGAGAACATTAAGTGTCGCCATAATCGCAGTGCAGGCAAAGGCAGTAGGCAAAGGCAGTAGGCAGCAAGCAGCAGGCAAAGGGCACGAGCAGCAAGGGCGGAGGAAGGGCAGTACGAGGGCTGCTCGGGCAGTACGAGGGCTACTAAGGCAGCATGAGGGCTACTAAGGCAACACGAGGGCTGTTAAGGCAGTGGGAGGGCTGTTAAGGCAGCACGAGGGCTGTTAAGGCAGTGGGAGGGCTGTTAAGGCAGCACGAGGGCTGGTAAGGCAGTGGGAGGGCAGTACGAGCACTGCTTAAGGCAGTGGGAGGGCAGTGCGCGGGGCTGACGAGGCAGCGGGCGGGCTGTGCGGGCGTCGCACGGGGCTGACGAGGCAGCGGGCTGGCTGCGCGCTCCCGGGTCAGTACAAGCAGCGCGAGGGCTGAGAGGCGGCGCGCGGGGCAGTAGAAGGCAGCGCGAGGGCTGCGGAGCGGCGCGCGGGGCAGGAAAAGGCAGCGCGAGGGCTGCGGGGCGGCGCGCGGGCCTGACGAGGCAGCTAGCGAGCTACGCGCGGGGCTGACGAGGCAGCAGGCGGGCTGCTAGCGGGCTGTACGAGGGCCAGCAGAGGCGAGCGCGAGGGCTGCGCGACTCAGGGCAGTGTAGGCAAGGGGCGGGGTAACGCGGTAACCGGCGGAAAACGGTTGGTGGGCCCTGAAAAACAGTCCTAAAACGATCCTAAGAACCTATGTTGCTCTGATACCATGTCGAGAGTAAAGTGAAAGGTGCTTGCACTATCGAGAAAGTTGGGTACAAGTAACAAAACCTATACCCTACATTAGCTACCCCACTAAAGCCTACATTTTATTATGACATAGGCATATAGTTTGACACTCCAACATCCCCAAAATTTACAACATCATCGCGTATCACAGCATCCGCAAGAAGAACACTGTTCCCGCACTCAAGGCGCTCAAGAAATTGCAGCCGCTGGGCACGCAGCTGAAGCAGGCGATGTACAAGGTTTCGGTGCAGAATGGAAACACGGTTTCCTTTGCCAAGACTCCAAACGCCCCCCCTGCCGCGTGGACGACGATCCGTATCGTGAGGCTATACGCTGGGCCGTACTTCATTGCCCACGGCGTGGATAAAGTCCTAATTCCCACTTACACCAAGGTGTAATTCTTCAGGTTACCTGAACGTGGCTCGGTTCTTGATTGACAGTTAGTCATGCTGCTGGTTCAACCTCTGAACTAGGGATGACTGGAGGTCAACTGAGCATCAAGGCATGTGTGATGCATGTTATGAAGATGTTACTCTGTACAGCGACCAACTCTGCATCACCTTCAATTATGAAAATGTCACTGTGTATAGCGATCAACTCCGTATCACCTTCACTACAGTCCTTATTTCCAGGAGTTCAATCATATTGGACAAGAAAATGTTGCCGAACCAGAGGTCCACCAAGACTCTCTCCCTCTGCACTTTTTGAAAGCTGGCTGTTTATTCCATTTTCAAATGCTCCATGTATGAAGAGAATACATCGACATCCGAAAGTTGTACTGCAAGTGTTGAGGAAAATATGGAATATATTATACATACTTTTTACAAATATAGATACCACACTGTAACAGTGCAAGAGTCTGCACTCACTCTCATAATCTTAGGCATGAAGTTGTGACCCTGGGAAGACCAGAGACAAGGACACAGCGGTGCATGCTGCGAAGGCGCTGCACCGAGGGGTGACCAAGGCGGTGGTGCCAAAGGAGGGTCTGGTGCGACAAGGCGCGACACGAGCAGGGGGCCGACAACTGACCTGACGCAGACGCAGACGCAGCTACCTGAGGGGACTCAGTGGTCAGTGTGTACAGGCCCGACCCCGGCTGCCGAGTGAAGGTAGCCAGGTGACGACCCGTCTGAGCACACGTGCAGTGTGTCACACGCTCGTAGGCAGGGGTGAACTGGTGAACACCCGCGTCCTGGAGCGCAGAACCCGCCACCAAGTTCGTAGAGAACGAGGGGAGGTAAAGACCCGACAGTGTGCCGGACGGGACAGCAGGACAAGGGAGGACAGTGGTGGAGGTCGCACGGACTGGACCCCCAGAGGGGTCTGCCAGAGAGACTGCAATCGGCCGACTGAGCGACGTGAGGGTGGTGCTGTCGTGAAAGAAGGAGCGAGAAGCACCGGAGTCAAGTATGAAGGTGTAAAAGGCCTCAGCAGGCGCAGTACCAGAGAGAGCAGACTCACCAGCACTTGGAGCAGAAGCCTCACTAGCACCTAGGGCAGCAGCCTCACCAGCACCTAGAGCAGCAGGCTCTATACCTGGGTCAGGCGGTACGCACAGGTAACAGGCACCGTCAGCACTAGTAGGCAATGCATACATGGCAGTGAGAATAACATCATAGTCAAGAGCAAATACATCTATCCTCTGCCTAAGCAGCTCCAGCCAGGTGGGGAGCTCAGCCTCGTCGCCAAACTCGGTACGCCAGGCGTCGCTCAGACGGGCGAAGCAGCGGGACTGTGTGTGACCAGGTGTCCCGCAAGGCTGACCAGCCCGATCACCTGTGCGAATGTCATACGGGCAGCGAACGGGACTCAAAGACCCTCTACTCTGAGCGTACCACTCGTGAAGCTGCTGGGAAGTAAGTGTCTCGCGTGGACGCCGCTGCAGCTGCAGCTGGCCACTGCCAGACGCTCCCAACTGACCAGCTCCAGGGCGACAGCTACGACGGCTACCGCCACAACCCCAATTAGCATACCACTCACGAAGCTGCTGGGGCGGGAGAGACTCGCGTGGATGTCGCTGGAGCTGCATCTGGCCACCACCAGTAGCAGCAGTAGCAGTAGCAGTAGCCTAGCAGTAGTAACAGAAGGAGCAGCAGTAGCAGCGCGGGCAGGGCAGGCGCGGCAGGCAGGCAGGCAGGCAGGCAGGCAGGCAGGCAGGCAGGCAGACAGGCAGGCAGGCAGGCAGGCAGGTTGGCAGGCAGGCAGATGGCGCGGCAGCGCGCTAACAAGGCAGGTGCTCACCAGGCGGGAAGGGCAGGCGCTCGCCGGGCGAGCAGGGCCGGCGCTCGGCGGGCGGCTGGACGGGGACCAGGGGCGGCTGCACCAGGGGCGGCTGCTTCAGGGGCCCGGGGCGGCTGCTCGGGGTCCAGGGGCGGCTGCGCCAGGGGCGGCTGCTGCAGGGGCCAGGGGCGGCTGCTCTGGGTCCAGGGGCGGCTGCTCGAGGGTCCAGGGGCGGCTGCACCAGGGGCGGCTGCTTCAGGGGCCAGGGGCGGCTGCTCTGGGTCCAGGGGCGGCTGCTCGAGGGTCCAGGGGCGGCTGCACCAGGGGCGGCTGCTGCAGGGGCCAGGGGCGGCTGCTCTGGGTCCAGGGGCGGCTGCTCGAGGGTCCAGGGGCGGCTGCACCAGGGGCGGCTGCTTCAGGGGCCAGGGGCGGCTGCTCTGGGTCCAGGGGCGGCTGCTCGAGGGTCCAGGGGCGGCTGCACCAGGGGCGGCTGCTTCAGGGGCCAGGGGCGGCTGCTCTGGGTCCAGGGGCGGCTGCTCGAGGGTCCAGGGGCGGCTGCACCAGGGGCGGCTGCTTCAGGGGCCAGGGGCGGCTGCTCTGAGTCCAGGGGCGGCTGCTCAAGGGTCCAGGGGCGGCTGCACCAGGGGCGGCTGCTTCAGGGGCCCGGGGCGGTTGCTCCAGGGGCGGCGTAGCTGGTGCAGGGCAGCGCGTGGGTCCCACAGGTGCCGTGACGGGCGACGGGGGGCAGCGCGCCGTCACCGGAGAAGGTGACGCGTGGGGCCGGCGGCAGGCTGCGCGGGCGGCTGACGTAGCGCGCGGGGCCGAAAACGGGCTACGCGGGCGGCGGATGCGGCGCGCAGGGCCTAAGCGGGCTACGCGCGGGCGGCTTACGCGACGCGCGGGCCGGCGGCAGGCTGCGCGGGTGGCTGACGTGGCGCGCGGGGCCGAAAACGGGCCTAAACGGGCCTAAACGAAGAGCGCGCGGGCTGCTCAAGCGGCGCGCGCGGGAAAAAAAAGGGCCGCGCGCGTGCAGCCGAGGCGCGCGCGAGCAGCAGGCAAGGCAGGTGAGGTAACGTGGTAACGGTGGGCCCTTATCTTAGGTCCTAGAGACCTCTAGGCTCTAGATACCATCTCATAATCTTAGGCATGAAGTTGTGTGTCTTTAGGTGAAGGTTGGGGTACAAGACTAGAGTGTCGAGAATGTTTCTGTACCCCCTGAGGATAGCCCCAATATAGCCTAGATACTAATGTGCATATGTTTTGACACTCACCCAATGACCACAGTATGAGCATCCATATCATGGAAAGCCCACAACTTGTCAATCTCACTGGAGCACAATTAAAATCCTCTGACTTCCTCCACACCCTTAAGTTTTCTCTCTTTTAGTGGACCCAGCTACCCCCTCTGCTCCCCACCCTGTGCTCGTCGTCACCCCCTCTGCTCGTCACCCCCTCTGCTAGTCACTCTCCCCACACATAACTGCCAGTGATGCTCTAGGCGGAACAAGGATCGTCCGGAGAAGTCATGCGTCCAACCGAAACCGAGCAGCCCATGCCTTGAAGCCCGGGGGAGACTTCATTGCGCGATCTTTGCCTTTCCCTTTTCATGACGGGATGGATTTCGAGTAAACCCTTTTCATTGTGCACTCATTGTGCGCTGTTTTCTCTTCTATTCCTGCCTTTACTGGTGCTCCTACCCCTCTTTCGGCCCGGCACTGCAGATATAGTCATCGCTGCACCTGGCAGTGTGGAACCCGTGCCTCAGCCGCACAATGTCATTCGTGAACGTGGAGTGGGCTGTTCCCAGAAAGCCAGCACCCAGCGCACACACCAGCTTCTCCAGCGTGGCCACGGTTTGTGGGGTGGTCTTGATATTGATGCCCTGGAAAAAGGATGGGGCGCGGAGGGTGGGAGGGGTGGGGGGGATGAAGGGAGGGGAAATAGTGTGTTGTCTTCACCGGCGTTGACCAACCTTCACCAGCCTCCACCGCTCTTCACCACCCATTGCCATCCTTAACCAGCCTTCGCCAGCAATTGCGAGCTTTGACCGTGCAAAACTGTTCAATGTGAGCGTCTTTTGAACCTCTTAAACAACCTTTAAACCTGCACAGTGTAAGACTGCTGGCAACTTACATTCTCCATAAGCGATTGAACCCATGCGCTGCTGTCCTCTTTAGAGAGCAGATGCGCTAGCGTTACAAGCTGCACTGCATAGCTGCTGCCATCAGGGCTGCTGTTGCTGCTGCTGCTGTTGGCAGGCTGTTCATCATGTAGTGAACGCTTAACACTGCTTGAACCACCATGCAGCATGCGACGGGCAATCGCGGGCATCGATCGCTGAGATCGTGGATCCAACGGCTGTAAATCGCACCCAGATGGCTGGGCAACCTCCCGCAGTGAGCGCGGTGCTTTGACTGGCAGTGGCATCTCAGCTTGCTGGCCTCTGCTCTGATGCTCATCTGCGAGTCGACTCAACAGTCTTCTCTCAAGTGTCTCAGAAACTGGCCGCTCCTGCTCCAATGCCGCAGCAGCTGTAGCAGCAGCAATAGCAGCACCAGCAACAGTAGCAGCGGCATCAGCCGCAGCAGCCGTAGCTGTGACCTCCAGTGGCTGTTCTTGAGGGGTCTTAAGCAGCGTTGCTGCAATGGCTGCTACCTCGTGTGGGCGGGCGTTGGTGGCGAGGAAGACGAGGGGGACCCGTGCTGAGACAGCAGCAGCACGCATGCACTGTGCTGCCTGGTCCACTGGCAGGAAACAGCCGTCCGATGGGTGCTGGGTGGGAGGGAGGGCATGCAGGTGGGATAGAGGAGGAGAAAAGGAAGAGAGGACAGCAGAGCAAGGGGCTTGATGGTAGATGGATGGAGAGTGTGTTGGTGGCGAGGAAGACGAGGGGGACACGTGCTGTGACGGCTGCAGCACGCATGCACTGTGCTGCCTGGTCCACTGGCAGGAAACAGCCGTCCGATGGGTGCTGGTGGGAGGGGTGGGAGAGGGAGACAAATTGACCAGAACGAGGAATGCCAGAGATGGGATGGGATGGGATGGGATGGGATGGGATGGGATGGGATGGGATGGGATGGGATGGGATGGGATGGGATGGGATGGAGATGGGACGGGATGTACTGAGGATGGTGGGGATGGGACAAATCATACCTTCTTCCGGCAGTAATCTTTGAAGTCGCCCCTCCTGAATTGCACCGCCAAGAACTGGCCGTTGAGCAGATGGTGCTGCACTATGTGCCGCGCTGCTGCTATCAGCGCCTCAGGGGGCTGAGGCAATCGGAGAGGGGAGAGAGAGCATGGAAAGAAAGAAGAGGGTGAGAGAGGGGGGGGAGGGAGTGGGGAGGGGAGGGGCGGGGCGGGGAAGGGAGAGAGTACGTGGGAAATCGGACATTTAGCTGATGGTGTTGCACTATGTGCCAGCTGCTGCAACAAGTAGTTAAGGGAGCTGAAATCAGTAGAATGAGAGAAAAATCAAGCTAGCATGAGAAGTATTTTGAGACGATTGCTTGCGCATTTTGGACATATGCTTCTGTATGAGGGGCAAGGCAGATGGCAGGAACGAAAGAGGAGGGTAGCGCGTGCGGAAAATGTGGGAGACACAAGAAAGGTATGGAGAAGAGGAGAGGGGTAGAGCGGGAGTTGGAGGGGCAGAGCAAGTAGAGAGGGGTGGGTAGAATGGTTGCGAAATTAGGGGAGAGGGAGGAGATGGGCTTTGCCCGGGACATTATTCTGGTGCAAAGAATCGAACAGATAGCAACTTCTCACCCGGATGGCAGGAGACGCGAGGCATGTTTCTCGAGGCACCACCTTGGCCCTCCCCTTCTGCTTGCCCGGTGGTGGGGGCAGCAGGAACGGGAGGTCCATGGGGGAGAGCATGCGGAAGAAGATGGAACCCGTGATGGGTTGCTGATGGGAAGGGAAGGTTGGGTGAGAGGAGGGGGGGAAGCGCACGTGTGAGAATATACCAATGCGAAGGAAGGGGGCACATGAGCAGCAGGAACGGGAGGTCCATTGTGGAAAGAGCATGCGGAAGAAAATGGAATCCGTGATGGGTTGCTGTGGCGGGGAGAGAAGTGGGCGGGGGTAGGGAGAGGGAAAGACAGTATTGTTTGAGGGAAAAAGGCATGAGGTGAGGCTTTTGAAAGGGTGAAAAGGCCGAGGCAGGCAGCAGGGATGGGAGGATCATGAAAGGGAGCACGTGGAAGCAGATGGGGTCAATGATGGGTTGCTGGGGGGTGAAGAGGAGGGAGGAGTAGGAACACGGCCATGGGATAGGAGTAAAGGGTTCTGAGCTCTGAATGGATTGTGATGCATGGGATGTTATTGCGGATAGAGTGACGACTTTTGAGGCGCCTCAAAAGTTGATACACATGTGGTGAGTTCCGAGCTCTAAAGAGATGTTGTGTGTACTGTACGCGATGGGATGTGAACATGCGAGAGGGTGGCATATCAAATGACATCATGAGATGGCATCAGCAGGCACAGTGGTCAAAGAGAGAGAGACAGAGAGGGACGCACCTTCTTGAACTCGCCGATCATCAGCACACCGTTCGGCACACTGCTGTACACCTTGAGGAACGCTGCAAGGAGCGGTTGAGATGGGTGCGGTTGATAGGAGAGTGGTTGAGAGGGGTGCGGGTGATATGGGTGCAATTGGGTGGATGGCATGACATGGCATGGCATGGTAATGCATGTTGAAAAGAAAGAGGGAAGAACGTGACGAGGTTCAAGAGCAGTGCTCTGTGCTCACATGCGTGCGACTCATCACAAAGGCCTCTTTGCTAGCATACTACAATTGATCAACTCATACGCCACCACACAACACAACACAACACCTCATCACACCACACCACACCACACCACGTCATAACACATCAACCCCAATGCATCACATACCACCACACAACACCACTGCACAGGCTGCAGCACTGTCTGCTTGGCCAGCGAGATCTCGTCTAATGCTTCATAGCAGGCACAGCAGGCGCTAGAGGCACAGCGCTGGTTGCGACGCAGCACCCTAGCACGTCCCCAGTTGCCAAACAACAGTCTCGCGCAGCCCTGGTCGTCGCATACACACACTCCAACACAACCCCACCTCACACAACACGCTCCAGGCACCGCCCCGGTCACACACTACACTCGAGCCCAGCCCCGATTCCCGCACAACGCAACCCTCGAGTACACAGCATCCAAGCGTTGCCCACCTTGCAGCGAGTGCTTGTCCGGCAGGCCCGACCACGCCCACTGCGCCACTGCCGGCACCGTCACGTTCGCCAGGCTGATGCGCCCCTTGCTCGCCTTGAACTGCCCCCCTGGTGCTGCTGCCCCAGGTGTGGTGCAGGAGAGATGGGGGGGAGAGGGTGGTGGGGAGGGGAGAGAGAAAGGGGGGAAGAGCGGGAGTGGTCATCGTGTCAAAACCTTGTCCGGCGGCAGGCCCGACCTTGCCCATTGCTCCACTGCCGGCACCGTCACATTCGCCAGGCTGATGCGTCCCTTGCTCGCCCTGAACTGCCCCGCTGGTGCTGCAGGAGAGGAAGGGGGCAGTGGGGAGACTTTTGAGGTGACTCGAAAAACGTTCGCCAGCCTGATGATGCGTCCCTTGCTCGCCTTGAACTGCCCTCCTGGCGCTGCTGCCGAGGGGTGGGGCGAAGAGGAGGAGGGGAGGGGGGAAGGGGAGAAGGGGGAGAGGGTGGCAAGGGCCGTGGTCTCAAGACCGCCCTGTTCCACGTGGGTACGTATTGACGTGGCTCAAGTCGGTTTTTGAGTCGACTCAAAAATCGACACAGCACACATGTCCTGCTCCACGTGGGTACGTATTGAAGTGGCTCAAACACGATCGCTAGCCTGATGCGTCTCTTGCTCGCCACAAACTGCCCGCCTGGTGCTGCTGCCCACGGGGTGGGGCAGGAGAAGGGGGAGAAGGGAAAGGTGGGGCAAGAGAAGGGGGAGAAGTGAAAGGTGGGGCAGGAGATGTGGGGGAAGGGAGGGGAGGGTGGGGTGGGGGAGGGCGGGTTGTCGTGTCAAACCCTGGTGCTGGTCCACGTGGGTTTGACACGACAACCCGTGGGTGACTTCTGAGGTGACTCAAGAACATTCGCCAGGCTGATGCGCCCCATGCAGGCTATGAATGAACTGCCCGCCTGCTGTTGCTACCCGAGGGTTGTTGTAGAGAGGAGGGGGAGAGGCAGGAAGGAGGTGGGAGAGCGAGAGAGTGAGGGGGTGGGAAGGTCGGAAGAAACAAAAACATACAGTTAGATCGGAGAATGAAAGAACCGGAGACCTATCCACCCGCCATCCACCCGCCATCCACCCGCCATCCACTCACCGGCATCAGGCACGAGGTGGCAGCCCTTGACGAGGCACAGCACGTGAGTGACCTCCATGCTGCCCCTGCCCACCCAGCCGCGTCACCCCCTTATGTTCCCCTTGCTCCAATCCCCCCCTGTGCGCCCCACTCACCAGCGTCAGGCACGAGGTGGCAGCCCTTGACGAGGCACAGCACGTGAGTCACCTCCATGCTGCCCCTGCCCACCTGCAGGGGGGGAGACGCAGTTGCCCGGGGCAGGGCAGGGGGGTAAGTGGGTGGTTGAAACAGGGCTAGATGGTTGAGAGGGGTAGGCAGGGGCAGGAGAAAACTCTATGTGGTGTGACATGACAACCCTCATGGTCCATGCAAGCAGCCCTGCAGCAATAAGGCATGGCATCATTTGACGCAATGAGAGTGCGAAAATGGCATGACCTTGATGTCACGTGATGACTTGGCTGTGGTACGTAACGAGATGACAGGACAGCGACATCACATTACATCACATAACATCTCGCATCGCATCTCATCTCATCGCATCGCACCGCATCACACCGCATCGCATCGCACCATGTCGCATCGCATCGCACCACACCGCACCGCACCGCATCGCATCGCATCGCATCCCATCCCATCCCATCCCATCCCATCGCATCCCATCCCATCCCATCCCATCCCATCCCATCCCATCCCATCCCATCCCATCCCATCCCATCCCATCCCATCCCATCGCATCCCATCCCATCCCATCGCATCCCATCCCATCCCATCCCATCCCATCCCATCCCATCCCATCCCATCCCATCCCATCCCATCGCATCCCATCCCATCCCATCCCATCCCATCGCATCCCATCCCATCCCATCCCATCCCATCCCATCCCATCCCATCCCATCCCATCCCATCCCATCGCATCCCATCCCATCCCATCCCAAACCACCCCATCCCATCACATCACACAGGCGAGGCACGGCAACAGCACTGCACTCACGAACTGCTTGTACTCGTCGAGGGTGAGGGCGGTCTTGGGACCGTAGCAGGCGCGCAGGAAGGGGACGTCGAAGACGAGGGAGAGCGGGAGGGTTAGCTGATGTGCAGGGGGGCGAGCAGTGGGCGAGCAGTGGGCGAGAAGGGGAGAAGGGAGGTGAGAGAAAGAACAGTGATTTCTCTGTTGCATGAAAAGCGCAGGAAGGGCACGTCGAAGACGAGGGAGGGCAGGAGGGTTAGCTAGCTGGTATGCATGGGGGGCAGCAATGGGCGACAGACAAACAGAAGGTGGAAGCTAGAAGAAGGAAAGAGGAGGTGCAGATAGGTACAGCGCAAGGAAGATGGAAAGAGGAACACACGGAGGAGCATTTTTAAGGCGCAACTACAAGGAGGAACACTCTTAACGAGTGTCATTACATGCCACGAGGTGAAGGGAAGTGGGGAGGTTTGGGGGGGCGCAGCAGCAACAAGGCAAGGAAATGCAGGGCAGGGCAGGGCAGGGCATGGCAAGGTAGGTAGGGCACGACAAGGCAAGTCAGCGTACCTCGTGTGGCCCCATGGGCACGACGAGCGTTCGGTTGAGAGCACCTGCCATCAGCGCGAACTCTCGCAGACAGAAGAGATGGTTTGACATCTGCGTGGGGTGGCAGGCACACAGACAGGGACGCATAGAGGGGCACAATAGGGACAAATGTAAAGCAAGGGAGCAGGAGGACAAGAACATTTTTTGTGGCAGAGTGGCGCTTGTCTCCAATACACAGAGGAGCGAGGGAAGGGAAGACAAGCACCAGAGGGAGGGACCCATGCGGGTGCATCGGGTGCGCGTGCCCTTCCCTACCCTTCGCATCTTTGACAGCACAAATGCAGAGCAGAGCAGAGCAGAGCAGCAGAGCAAGCAGAGCGCCACTCACCCCGCCAGTGGAGCAGAGCGCCAGGAGATATTTCCTGCCCGAGTGTGCATCTATCTCTTTCCCTTGATGAGGGGGATGCGCATCCCGAGTGTGCATTACCACCTCTGACATCACGCACGCACGCATCGAGCGCCACTCACCCCGCCAGTGGAGCAGAGCGCCAGAAGGTACTTTCTGCCGTCGGGGCTCCACGGCGCGCCCAGCAGCGGCTCGCTGGGCATGCCCCCGCTCTTTGCCACGTCAGCTGCCACGTCGGCAATGACGTCAGCAGCCAGGCTGGCGTTGACCGAGGTGTTGGGTTGAGGTGGAAGGTCCTTCCACCCGCTTATAGCGGTCATGGGGACGTAAAGCGCCCCGCCGGGGGATGAGGGGGACGCGCATTGTGCTTGTGCTGCTGATGCTGATGCTGGTACTGATACTGATGCTGCTGCTGCTGCTGCTGATGCTGCTGTTGGTAGTCCTCCTGACGATGTAGCTGCTGCTGCCTCTGCTGGCAATGCTGCTGCGGGGGCTGGTAGTGATGCTGGTGACAGGGAGGGCGGCGGCAAAGACGGCGGGGACTGGGAAGGCGGAGACTGAGAGGGAGTGGACTGGGAAGGTGGGGATTGTGAGGGTGGAGATTCTGATGATGCCATTGGTTCTGCTGGTACTGCTGTCAGAGACGCTACTGGCATCAGCGCTTCTGATGCTGCTGACACCAATGGTGCTGCGAGCGACGGCACAACTGAGGGGGGCGGTAGCGACGCGAGGGCGAGTGCTTGAAGGGCAGCAAAGGCAGGGAGGACAGCAGTACCGGCACCAGCACCACCACTGGCGGCATCGGCACCACCGGCACCTACATTTTCACTGAAATCAGCCCCCTCAGCAGCAGCAGCAACATTATCGCCGTCACCACTGTCCCTGTCAGGTGCAACACTTGCTGACTCCCACCCATTGTCACTTGCACTGCCGCTTGTGCTCCCGCTGCCGCTGCCACCGAAGCTCTCGGCAATGCCATCACCATCGCCATCGCCATTGCCATTACTGCCACCGCTGTTGCTCGAGCTCCCGGTGCCGCTACGACCTGAGCTGTCAGCCGTGCCATCGCCACTGCCGCCGCTGCCGCTGTTGCCACTGACGTCCCGTGCCGGCCGCCACCGAAGCGTGGCGGCGTGGTGCAGATGGGCACGGAACGGTGACCTGCGGTTCGCACCGCCACCGCCGCTGCCACCACCGCCGCCGCTGCTGCTGAAAGCACTGCTGCTAGGGTTTATGTCTCCGGTGTTGGTGTTGTCACCATTGCCGGTGGTGTAACTGCTAGCATCCGCATTGCTGGTAACTCGGGGGTCCGTCCTTTGGCTGTTCGGGCGGGTTGGAGGAAAGCTGGTGGGATCGGTATAGGTTTCCCAGCCGAAGGAGCCGGCTTGGTTGAGGGAGACGAGGAAGAGCGAGCAGAGGACGAGGAGGAGGAGCAGGAAGGGCAGAGCGAGGAGCGCGAGCGACGCGGACTGCTTCTCCGTGGCTTGCCATCGCCACGCGCCGCTGCCGCCGCCGCCGCCGCCAACGATGCCGCCGCCGCCGCTGCTGTGTGGCGAGCCAATCCACGATCTGATGATGACGTGGCGCCGCGGAACCTCGAGATGCGCCGCCGGCCGCGCCGCTGTCGCCAGCATTTGTCGCCACGCGCTGTGCGACGCGAGCAGGGCGGCCGCGTCCCTGCGATCATCGTCGTCGCCGCCGGCGGTCATGACGGTGAAATGATGTGCGATTTCGCCAACGGAAGTCGTGACGCGCGGCGAAGATGCTAGCGAAGCGCGTGGCGAAAATGGCAATGATCGATTCAGGGCGGGGATGAGTCGATGGGAGAGATGGCTCTACTACCCTGGCGGACACGCAGCAGTCGACGTGGCGGCGCCGGAACTACGCTGGATACGACGGCGATCGTAGTAGGTGTCACGACCGTGGTGACGACTCCGAGTCGCAATAACTACTTCAAGTTCGACGCGCAACTGGGAGAACGTGGCTCTAACATCAGCGCGTAAGAGTCAAGTATTAGCCGCGAAAGCAGGGCGGAATTCCGGTGACTGCGACCGGGTCGCGACGCTCATAGCACGGGAGTGCAAGCTCAGCATGATACGGGCACTGCCAGAGTGTCGCGCAAGAACGTTCTGAAATCTATGAACGATTTCAAACGGTGCTGCCGTGTAGGGGGACGGGAGGACGGGGCAGGTGGGTTGTACAGTACAAGAACACCGAAGCACACTTCTCAACCGCACACGCGTCACAACAGCAGCAGTGCAGGTCTGCTTGGATGGAAGGCGCTTGAGTGGTCGTTAATGTGATACGCGATAAGGGCAAGAGATTGTTTCTCGTGGCAGCCGAGTTCTAGGGAAGAAAACTGTAGCTTTCGGGTACTCACTCTTGTAGACTCACTCTTGTAGACTTCCACCTCGAAGTGACTTTTGATTATGACACAATTTCTCACCCGAATTTTGTTCATATTTACAGCAATTTTAGCTTATTTATGTTCTACATACTCTGGCAAAGAAGAATGGGTCTCAAAAACCAACAAATGTGAGCCGTAATATTCTCAGATAGTATTTGATTTAATTGGAACCATCAAAAGCATCTGCCAATGTCATCCTGCTGTCGTTCATATGGCTCAACACATATGTTAGACTTGGAAATAGATGCACAAGGAAGTAATCCAGAGAAACATTAACTTGATGAATATTAAGACGCATCAGCAACCCAAGCTTGTGTTTTGACCAAGAGCTGACGAATATGTGTGAGCAGTCTGGCGGAATGGTTTAAAGTGAACCGGCAGCTTAAATCGACAAATTGAATCGACATGCTTCAAAACTCTATCTTTCAAGGACACCCTAGCTTCACAACTAAGCGACGTAAAATGGATGTGCCCAATGTCAGCCTAGCGAAGACCCACCAGATATCCCCGTTACAAGCGCATTTCAAGCTCTATATTTCATCATCATGACCCAAGCTGGTCTAAACAACGTTCCTAATCGGAGTTCGAATATATAGGTGAATAAAATCACTCACCAAGATGTCAGAAGTCTAGGCAAGAATCAGAAACAGGAAAGAGGGGTTTTCACTAGCAGTAGTTAAGATATATATAGCAAACCCTAATTTGGGCTGTACTCGCTATAGAGTACCCCACTGCAAGCTAGACAAACATCACATTCTGACACACCCCCATAGTCAAAGTGGGGTATAATCAGCACAGCAAGCAGGCAGAGCAGTAGGTTCACAAATACAAGCAAAGCTAGAGGCAGTCACAGAGGGCAAGTGAGGAGGAGGAGGAACTGTGAGAGGAGTGGAGATAGGAGGCGTCTGGTGAAGCCGCAGACACACGGGCAACAGGAACGGCGCGCACGGTGCCTACCGGAGCACTCAACCTCCGGACTACAGGAGTAATTGGCTCCGCGCTAAGCAGCAGCAGGAGCAACAGACCCACGGGCGACTGGCAGCTGCAGGCTGTCAAACATATATATATTATATGTTGTAGTTATTGGTAGGCTGTAGTGGGGTAGATTCTGTGGGGTGTAACCTCTTAGGGTTTTCCTACTTGTAAAACTCTCTCGATAGTTGAATCCCCCCTTGCCTAAGTCTTGACATGGCATCTAGAGCACTAAGGTCTCTAGGACCTAAGAATAGGGCCCACCTTTAACTGAGTTACCTCACCTACAGCCTCATTGCCTGCCTGCCTGCCCTGCCTGCTGACCGCGCGCGCCTCGGCTGCTTGCGCGCGTCACTTTTTTTTTCCCGCGCACGCCTCTTAAGCAGCCCGCGCGCAGCCCGTTTAGGCCCGTTTAGGCCTGTTTTCGGCCCCGCGCGCCACGTTAGCCGCCCGCGCGGCCTGCCGCCGGCCCGCGCGTCGCGTGAGCCGCCCGCGCGCAGCCCGCTTAGGCCCTGCGCGCCGCGTCCGCCGCCCGCGTAGCCCGTTTTTCGGCCCCGTTTTTAGCCTGCCGCCGGCCCCGCGCGTCGCCTCCTCCAGTGACGGCGCGCTGCCCCCCGTCGCCCGTCACGGCGCCTGTGGGACCCGCGCGCTGCCCTGCACCAGCTACACCGCCCCTGGAGCAGCCACCCCTGGACCCAGAGCAGCCGCCCCTGGCCCCTGAAGCAGCCGCCCCTGGACCCTCGAGCGCCGCCCTTGGACCCAGAGCAGCCGCCCACGGCAGCCGCCCCTGGAGCAGCCGCCCCTGGACCCCGAGCAGCCGCCCCTGGCCCCTGAAGCAGCCGCCCCTGGTGCAGCCGCCCCTGGACCCAGAGCAGCCGCCCCTGGCCCCTGAAGCAGCCGCCCCTGGTGCAGCCGCCCCTGGACCCAGAGCAGCCGCCCCTGGCCCCTGAAGCAGCCGCCCCTGGTGCAGCCGCCCCTGGACTCCGTGCAGCCGCCCCTGGACCCAGAGCAGCCGCCCCTGGACCCTCGAGCGCCGCCCCTGGACCCAGAGCAGCCGCCCCTGGCCCCTGCAGCAGCCGCCCCTGGAGCTGCCGCCCCTGGACCCCGAGCAGCCGCCCCTGGCCCCTGAAGCAGCCGCCCCTGGTGCAGCCGCCCCTGGGCCCTCGAGCAGCCGCCCCTGGACCCAGAGCATCCGCCCCTGGCCCCTGCAGCAGCCGCCCCTGGACCCAGAGCAGCCGCCCCTGGCCCCTGCAGCAGCCGCCCCTGGTGCAGCCGCCCCTGGACTCCGTGCAGCCGCCCCTGGACCCGCGACGCCGCCCCTGGACCCCGTGCAGCCGCCCGCCGAGTGCCGGCCCTGCTCGCCTGGCGAGCGCCTTCTCTTCCCGCCACTGGTGAGCACCTGCCTTGTTTGCGCGCTACCGCGCCATCTGCCTGCCTGCCTGCCTGCCGGCCTGCCTGCCTGCCGCGCTTGCCCTGCACGCGCTGCTGCTACTACTACTGTTACTGCTGCTACTGCTGCTATTACTGCTACTGCTGCTACTGGCGGTGGCCAGATGCAGCTCCAGCGACGTCCGCGTGAGTCCCTCACGCCCCAGCAACTTAGTGAGTGGTACGCTAGTTGGGGTTGTAGAGGTGGCCGCGCTGCTACTGCTGCTACTGCTGCTACTGCTGTTACTGCTGCTACTGCTGCTACTACTCCTATTGCTGCTACTGGCGGTGGCCAGATGCAGCTCCAGCGACGTCCGCGCGAGTCTCTCACGCCCCAGCAGCTTAGTGAGTGGTACGCTAGTTGGGGTTGTCGCGGTAGCCGTCGTAGCTGTCGCCCTGGAGCTGGTCAGTTGGGAGCGTCTGGCAGTGGCCAGCTGCAGCTGCAGCGGCGTCCACGGGAGACACTTACGCCCCAGCAGCTTCACGAGTGGTACGCTCAGAGTAGAGGGTCTT